CAAGCAACAGCCATTCATACGGGAAACGACTTGACTGTTTCAAATTTAATGCAAAAACGCATGATCGAGCCGGCAAGCTTGATGTATATCAGCCTACGATTCATTCTTGTAGAAACACGTGAAAGTCAGAAAAATGTGCATCAGTATATGGTAAAAGCGCGCATCAGTATATGGTAAAAGTAGGACAGTGGTGAATAGCAGAACAGATTGCTGATTAGCTGGAGGAACTGGAAACAGTATTGCGAGGGCTGTAGCATTTGGCGCCGGAAGAGCAGTCGTTGCCCTCGCCGCCTGCCCTGCATATTCATTTATGCAGTGTAATAAATTTTTCGCTGCAATGTGGAGTGTTCGAATAATTGCATCTTTCGCATACTGAGTCTGCATTTTTGCACGGCTTTTTGGCTAATCCATTAACGACAAACAATGAGGCTCATTTCCAGCTCGCAACAACACTGGCGCTCCCCGGCAACCTCCCCTCCCTCGCCGCCTCTCGGTTGCTTTTCAAAACGAACAGTCGTGTGATGGGCTCGACTGGATCAGTGGAAATTGATACTGGTACACCTAACAATGCCTCGTTAGAAAAAGAAGCAGTACCCACCCCAATGTCGCAGTCGCTCGGTGTGCTTGTCACAGGGTCAGTAACCGGCCGCTATTTTCTTTCTACTGTCTCGGCCGGGAAAATCCACTTTTAAAGGGCATGCTGCACACAATAAGTGCCTGCGCACGGCCGGAACAGCTTATCGAGGGGCTGCAACACCGCGGCGTAGTGAGATTCGTACTTCTCGCGCGTCCAGAACAGAAAGCTTATGTGACGGAAAACAGTGTTCACTTCGCCTGCGCGGTGCGTGGCAGCGACCATGCAAGCAAAGAGGAAATGCAAGCACGCACTTTTTAAACGAAATATGTGGATGAATTTAAGTAGACGTTTTTGCTCCGATATTCTGTGCACCCTTCCACATGACTGTGACGGCGCGTAGTGGTGTTTGCTGACTGAAAGACTGCCTACGGGAAACCAGAGCGCATGTGATCAGACCACCGCGATGTGCTAATTTTATAATCTGAAAGTGAACAGTGGTGCGAAAGAATTCGTTCGCTGCGCACTACAAGCTAAAATCCTACTCCATTCTGGTAAAATCGAAGATCCATAAGCCTCAGCTGCAGAGAGAAGGCGCTTGCTCGCATGTGTTTTTTGCTGGTTTTGGATCGGATGTTGTACGGTTATTAGTCCCCTGCAACGTTTTCTTTACTGCTCAAAAACTGCCCACTGCTTCCCCCTTTCTTGACTTCCTGTTTTGAGTTATGTGAATAGCTTACAGCGTAGCTTACGCCAAACTATGTCAGCTGTTCTTACTTTTATGTTTTTTCAAAGTTCATTATTAAAGTTCATTTTGGTGAGTCCTTGTGTGCTCGTCTTTGTGATTGTTGGTCTGTCGTGTTGATTAAACTTTTGAACTACGGAAGCTGAAGAACAAAATTTGGGGCTGTCACTCCCTGCCTCGCACGGATCCAAATCACTGGCAACGGGCATCAGGTGGGCCAGTGCGATCATGCGTTTCTGTGGTATCTCGTGCTGTAGTAAAATAGCAAGGAAACCCAGTAGCAACAATTTGTCACACAGCGGCCTTCGAAGTTCAGGAAGTTAAGTGAGCAGCTATGTGATGTGTCATTTGTAGATGCCGGCTACAGTGACATCACAAAGGGAAGTTGTTGGTGCGCGAAAAAAAACGCCACGAGAAGAGTTGAATTTGAAATCTTTTAGTCGTAGTTCAGTAGGGGGTACTCCTTTAAAATTACCGCTTTCTAGCTTTTTTCGTTCCCGAGTTAGCATTTTTCCTACCGAGATTTTCACGTGCTCGAACGTGTATCCCGGGTGGTTTAAGGAGGTGAATTTGAAAATTTTTGGCGTTCATGAGTGGGAAACATTGCTCTAAAGTGTCAGCCTTCTAGCTTTTCTAGTTCTCGAGCTAGTAATTTTTCCCGCCGTAACTTTTACGTATCCGTACGTGAGACATTAACGTGCTCGACAGTTGACATCACTTTCCTGGGGTCGCACTTGGCCAGCGAACACTGGCAAAACCCCACCTTCAAAGCTTGCGCAGCTGTTGAGTACAAACATCCGGACAGGCGAGCACACATAAACAAATATGTGCATGCACACAAACACACGCACGTATACACACACAGAGTCGTCGTTTTTGCTGCGCCGCAAAAATGCGTAAAGAGTAAAATTACCTTTTTCTTCGTATTTGCTGATGCAGGAAACGTAGAGGATTTCACCTCACGGACTGATGTCACATTAAACACAGTCGCAGCATGTAATGCGATGGTGAGACCGGTCTGCTTGTTGTCGCCACATGAATCGATTAAAAACCATCGTGATGAGGTAAAAAAATTAAACCCGGGTAATGGTACGCCAACCTGCAGGTGCGATCAAGAGTTTTTGCGCTAAACTTGAAGCAGTCAGATCGCTAACACTATGAATAGTTGCTGTGTTATAGTTTAATACATGGATTCGTGTTGGCTGCGTTTTGGTCTTTTCTTTACCCTTAAGAGGAAAAGGGCGTCGGTTGAAGCACTAATGCTGCATTATAGAGCCGCGTAAAGTCTTAACTTCAGCATACATGATTACAGTAAACTTATTCGGTGACCGATTGTTCATAAAAAATGCAAATCTGATAATGAACAGGATTACAGGAGAGAAGGGTAACGAAATCCGCAAAATGCACTTGTTTTTGAGGTTGCGACAAAATTGGTTATTTTTAATATCCGTTTGCAGGGAATTTAGTCTACGGTTACTAGTTTTCGAGTTTGCGCGGTGCCAACTTTGACGTGACCGCATGCATGACGCAAGCGTGCACGGTAGCTGAATTTGAAATCTTTAGCTTATGCATGCACAAAGAATATCCTTGACAAGTTGCAGTTTACTACGTTTATCGGCTCTCAAAGTCATTCTTCCGTCAAAAAATCACATCTTTCTTAGGGCATCCGAACGTGAAATTTAGACGAGCACGAGCGATGATTTTAAAAAGGAAGGGTGACAAATGAGGTGGAAATATGCTTCGGTACTTTCGCATTCGCTTTACGCAGACCGCTTTGTTTGGTGGGTTAAGCAGTCACTTAACATCCAGCTATTACTTAACAAGGGGATTTGATGACGAGGGAATGTACACTACCCTTTATAAGGTTGTCTGCAAAAATCGAACCATACTAAGCGGGGTTCTACACTGTGATACTTTTGGGTGAGAAGTTTCCGCGCATCATTACTTCCAAATCGTTAGATTGGCTTGTAACGTAGTTGAGTAGTCGGCCAATGTTAGACAATCCTTCCAAATTTTGCTGCTACATTTCAGAAGTATGCCGTTACAAGGTGAGCCAGCAAGCAAACGAAGCAAGGGCGACAATCACGTTCTGCACGTTAGTTTTCCTTTTGCTGTTTTATTTTCATTTTCCTTCTCTACACATTCACATACCTCCAAGTTTCCTACTCCGCTCCGATCCCGTACCGTCACTTCTTTTCTTTTTTCCTCCCACTCCTCCCTTCAGCGGTTCATTATGTCACCAGTAAATGGTGGATAAGAGGCTGTACTGATGATGATTCCCACTCCTGTCCATATCTGGTTGCTGTCTGTTTTTATAGCAAAGGGTTAACAGAACAGTCCCATATAGGTCTTCGTTACATGTGACATACACATGTTTACCGGTGTCCTGCTACATTTCCTTAGCTCAACACTCGCTTTGGTGCCTTCCTTCCACTCCTCTCATCTTTACAGCGCCGCTCTTTCCCTTCTCCTCCCCTCGTTTGCGCGTTTCCAATTTCAGTAACATATCTGCATTTATTATCGTCCTTACCCATTTTGTGCTCGCAGCCGCTTAGCGCGAAAATACGTGAGGCCTGACCGGACTTCTTTTTCGCATTTATCCATCTCTCCAAAATTATGTCTTCAGTTTAACGGCTGTTTGAATTGCCGCTGTGTGAAAATCTAACGCGAATGCACTGTAAGTGCTATTGCCACAGTCTCAAGCAGCAAAGTCTCGCGAATGCTACAGGGCGGTGCGTGATGGGCCGGGTTGGTTGCCTAGTTTGGGTTCTTTTGGATCCTTTGCATATGTTCTGGTAACCTGCGTTGGGGGACCTGCGCATTTGAATGCTCGGTTCGGTTGTGGCTAAGGGGATTGTCGGTCCCCGAAAGTGAGCAGCGACGATGCGCGTGTGCGGGGCAAAAACTGACCACTGTTGGATCAGAGACTGGTCACACAGCTGATGAGGAATTTTGCGAGCCGGCTGACCGTACACGAGTTCCTGCTACCGCTGCTGTTGCTGCTGACAAACCCGGTTGCTGAAATGCCTGTTGCAGAAGCGCGCTGCAATCCGTGCAGTGCATCCCCTCAGCGTGCTTCGCATTTGCTCACTGGCATCGCCAGCCGGTGATGCTTTGCTTTGCGAGGTTGCTCGCTGAGTTCGTCCCTCGACGGTAGCTTTCTAGTGCATGGCTGCATCGTTTTTCGCTGGAGATTCTTATCAACGATGTATCGTTCACTGACTTATCGCCGTGTAGTGCGCTTGCAAAGGCATTTGGTCTTCTCGGGTTCCCGCTTCATCTCTTTTTTTTTTCCCCGCAACAGTCGTCGAAACTCTAAAGTCTCTAAGCGGCGCGCTGCTGGGCCAGTCAACGATGCATGGTGCGCAGCCTGGCATTGAGAAGTTCAAGCAGTGATCGCATTTGATTCGGAGAGCACGGAGACTGCCTTCCAGGAATGTGCCACACTGCGTGCATGCTCTGCTTTATTTATTGTCGCGCGTAGGTCAGTGGCCGAAGTTTGCCCGGCCGAGCCGAATGCGGCGCTGCATGCTGCTGCTGCTGCTGCTATCGGCTAGGCTTCGAGGGCTCTTCTCCGTCCGCTCGTAATTTCTCGAAGCAGCTCTGTTGCCAGAGGTGTGTTACTTGAAATTGTTGCTGCGCATGATTCATGCACTGTGTGTTGTTTCAGCAGAAGCACGGATGTCGTCGTCTTCGTCAGGAGGGCCAGCGCTTCCCGAAGGCAGGAAAGGAAAGTAAGCGTCAGCGTTTGGAATTTCATAAGATTAGCATAGCAGAAGACATGTTGCACTGTAATAAGAAATTAGTACCGAATAATCGTTTGGAGTTTCACTTTGAGAAGCACACAGTGATAATTGCATTTGCTGATCAAAGCGTATACTTTTTTTCAGGACAAAAGGGCCTAGCTTATATGAAGTCCTGGGTATCCGGAAAGATGCATCTGAGGATGACATCAAGCGTGCATATAGGAAGCTTGCCCTGAAGTACCATCCGGACAAGAACCTTGAGGGCAGTCCG